GTCAGACATTCTAATGGAGGGCAAGGAAGGATCTCTGTGGTGATTAATAGAGAGGAGTTTTGTTTTTGAGGCATTAAAGTTGACCAGCCAATTCTGCCCCAATTCACAACCGATTGAAGGTTCTTTTCGAGACGCACAGCCAGGTTAGTTTTGTCAGCGACACTAGATTTGTTTTTGAGGCAGGAGTAAATTGTGGTGTCATCCGCGTAGATGCCAAATATATATATATATATATATATATATATATATATATATATATATATATATATATATATGTATTAGTAATAGTCGTTGTTCGATTAATCGTTTAGAACATTCATAAACCCAACAGTTCGCCTTGTGGTCGTTTTTTTTTAAATAGTTATGGTCCGGTTCCTTGTACCACGGTGATAGTCCAAGGTAGAACCAATGAAGAAAAACTCGAACACAGGTATGGAATAACACAGATATATTACAAACAGGAATATGTACAGAGAAGTAGAAGTGTTAGTATGAACAATCAGGTTTAGTAGAGAGAACAATGTAGTCTCGACCAGTATCACTATTCCAATGTCTTGTAGTAATTGTCTGAACGCGACTTTGTTTCGGACTGCCTCTGACTCGACTCTTGACTCGACTTGAACTACTGACTCGACTTGAACTACTCCTGAGGCGCAGTATTTATTAAGTATGGAATAGTCCATTATTATTATTATGGGTAAGATCCCATAACAATAGTGTTTCAAGAAAATTGGTGCTATCCATTTTAATTATTACTGCTGTTGAAAATCTTCAAGTGATGTGTTTTTTCTTATTTCATAAAGTTCTTTGTTTCTGATTATGTAGTGCAAGCCTGTAAGTTCATATGCAGTATTTTCTTCATTAAAACCTGGAGGATTCATTCACGTGAAGTCATTTGATCTGAGAAAACGGTTGTATGTAGATGATAGTTTGGACCTTAGGATCTCGTTATCTACAACAGATAGGAAAAGAAAATTTCCCGTGGATAACAAACTATATATTCAAATGTTTTACAAGAAAATCTACACCATATTTTAATTCTAATCTTATGCTTTCTGACGTTGCCAGCATTTGTAACACGTTTTCTGTTCATATTTTCAACCCACTAATTTAATGATTTTCCTGTTTTTCAATTTTCCAGCACAACGCCATAATTTCACCTGTTTTGCCTCGTCAAACTAAATTAACTTCTATGTGTATGTCTTTTTAGTAATTATACGTATCATACTATCCTCCCTGTTATCTTTTCTTTTTTTTTTTCTTATTAAGAACTTTTAATTTTTCCTTAAATAACAAGCAGTTTACGTTTTTGAGTTATCCGATTTGCCTGCATCAATACTTTTGTAATTTTGGGGACATTATTAATAAAATATCCCTTGTAGCGGTTAAAATTAGACGAACATCAACACTTTGATACCGTTACCGATATTTCAGGTTGAGAGCTTATTTGTTGTACATTTATTATACATTGTCAGCCATTGTGATGAAAAAAGGGACGCAAATCCTACACAATGAGAAAAGTAGTTCACTCACGGGGCAAATAGCAACCGTAAAAATGAAATGAATGAAACAGAAACCTTTTTAGAATGAACGAACATTTCTAATTAATTTGCGTTTTCCTAACTTAGACTTTGATAACATTGAAAACATTTAAAGCTACACTATTTACATTATTCAGACAATCGTCCTCATATTTGTTGCCACATTTATCACAGCCTTTCAGCCGTTGTACACTCCGGCCTTCTTCAGGTGGTCGAACTGAACCCTTTATTTCGCTCGCTGGGGTAGACTGTTCTACTTCCACGTGCCATGTCAAATGAATGTCAGTTATCAGTTATCTCCTTTAAGGCTGGAGGTAACTTATATATGCTTCTTTGAGAAGATAGCCCAGCACTCACTGCCCTACATGGAGACAGACATCACATAAAGGTTGTGTTCCTTTTTCCTTGTTTCTAGCGAAATATTCCTATTTCTTAGTAGTCTGCTAAGCTTTTGGAATGCTTTCCTGGCTATCACAATACGCCTTCGGATCTCAGCATCGCACTTCCCGTCCTCTGTTAACGCACTTCGCCGATATTTAAATTTCCGCACTTGTACCTCCGATTTGCAATTCACACTTTGGGTTCGTCCATTTTCTGACAACCATGCATTCTGTCTTCATGCAGTTGACATTTAATCCTTTCTTCTCGCTTCACTCCCTTCTGTAGTAGATTTTGTAGCTTTCTTTCTGTGTCTGCTATTAACACTGTGTCATCTGCATACCTTATGATGTTAAAATTGTGGTCGCCAATAATGAACCCTGTTAGGACTTCTAGTTCTTTCAAAATGGCCTCGATGTATAGGTTGAATCCCTGTCTTACACCTCTTTCTATTTTTTTATATCTACTGAACTAATTTCTAACCGTATGCAATCGGTTTCCTGCCAGTATAAGTTCTTGGTTATTTCAATATATTTCCAAAATATATCAAGGTTGCTGAGCAGTTCCAATAGATCTTTGAGGCCTAGTTTATCGAACGCCTTTGCGTAATTTATAAAACAGCGGGAGCACATCCTTCCCCATTTCTATTGCTCTTTCTGATAAGATTCTAAGCATAAATATCGCTTTCATTCTTCCAATGTCTTTGACGAACCCGCACTGTTCTTGTCCTATTTTGATTCTAAGCATAAATATCGCTTTCATTCTACCAATGTCTTTGACAAACCCGCAATGTTCTTGTCCTATTTTGATTCTGCTTCTGCTGCGCGCTCTATTCATCAGAACTCGGATGATCAGTTTCCTTATGTGGCTCATTAAGCTGATTGTCCGATGGAGTCCGCATTCGTTTACACTTGGCTTATTTGGTAATGCTATGAAAATAGATCTGCTTACATATTCCGGTATATCACCACTGTTGTAGATTCCATGTATTATTTCTGTAATCTTGTCTATGTCAAAATCGTCTAAGGCCTTTAGCATCTCTATTATAATTCTGTCTGATCCTGCCCCTTCGTTTCTGCTGCTTCCACTTCAGATTTTAATATTTCCAGTCCGTCGATATTTCTGTGTAATGCCTGATGTTCTCTTACATCGTGAAAGAGTTCTCCGACATATCTGTTCCGTCTCTGAAGTATGCTTTATTTCTCTAATACCATTGTTCCGTCCTTGGATTTTATGCAGCCTCTTGATGAGCAGATCTTTTCTCCTGTTAGTTCTCTTATTTTTTTATGCATATCTGCTTTATTTCTGATACTCATTCTTTCTATTTATGCACATTTTTTCGTTGAGTCATTCCTCTTTAGCCTGCCTGCATTTGTTTTTTTATTTCTTTGTGTAGTGTCCTATATTCTGTACCGTATCTTGGCATAGTTTTTGTCATTTTTTTCATCACGTTGAACATTTTGTCATCCATTTATATTTTTTCCTTCGTCTATAATCATTTCAAATTGCTCGATTGCTGCTGTAGTCATAACTTCTCTTAAAGTATCCCACTTAGGGTTCCGATTTTCCTTTTGTTCTTCGTATCCGCTTTTCTCACTGTCCGTATATTTTTCCTTAAGTAAAGTCTACGTAACATAGAGGGAAGTTCATCTAAGTATTTATAGAAAAAAACACAGGACAGCTACGTTACGGCAGTGGAAAAGTGACTGAAGCCGAGATGCCAGGTCAAGACCAATAACATTGCAGTTTCTTCTTTAGATTTTATCAAGAGTTGATAAAAAATTCTAAATAGGACAGACTTGGTTTAGTTTGTTTTGTTTTACAGCATATCAACCTCAATGGGTTATTTAATGCCGACAATATTTTTATTGCTGGTAATATTTTTTTCCAAAAATGTATTGCTGGTAATAATTTTTTTTAAAGTATTTCTGGTATTAAAACCTACTTTTACACTTTCATAGTGTTTTGACCCCAGTTTGAGAGTTAACAATTTGCCCATAGCTGGGACCCTAACAGGTGCTACCACACCGAGTCAGGGTAGAGCTGGGAACACCAGCAATTAAGAGGTGGTTCCACAGTCCTCAAAACCTCCTGATCATAGGCCTTGCTGTTGGACGTAGTTTATCGTCTTACCCAGGACGCGGATGTACTTTATCGTCTTACCCAGGACGCGGATGCAGTTGTTTATCGTCATACCCAGCACCGAAATAAGACAGAGGCTTGAACACAACTGTCGAGACGATATAATAGCAACTGAAATGGGAATTCGGATAAATCGGTCTATAATAATAATAATGATACATTCTCATCTGTTAATATTATAACGTTTACCAACCTGATTGACTGAATATACACCGGCCATATGACAGAGATTTGAATATATTATCTAGTTTTATTTTCTTTCCGGGTCAGTTATTAGCAAATGTTTAATAAAAATTTAAATTCAATGTTTCCTGAACAGCCATTCATCAACAAGGACGGTAATTGGTCGCCTCTCTCCTGAATTGTAAAAGAAGTAAGGTAGGTGACTACAGTAATATTTCTGTAACTATAGCATTACCACGCATGGACGTTAGACTGTTCGCCATCTCAAACTGTGGGAGTGAGCGATAAGACTTTTTTTCCACACCGTAACTGTAATCCAGGTCCCTAGCCAGCAATTCAAGGTGAAAAAAAAAATCTATTCGTGCATTTGAACCTATTTTGCGATAAACAAGCTTAATGTTTCTTTGTGCTTCGATATCGGCAGACATCTTTGTAACAAAAGTTTTCAAGTAAATAAGCTATAATGGTACTGATAATGAAAATGACCAATGAAGATGACGACAAAGATGGCTGGATCAATAAAGGAAGAAAAGAAAGAATGAGAGAAAAGAGGAGGAAGTAAAGGATAAAGAAGAAAAGAAGTGGAAAGAAATGAATAAAAAGATGATAACGGAAGGAAGGAAGGAAGGAAGGAAGGAAGGAGGAAGGAAGGGAAAATAAAGGCAGAAAGAAGGACAAAGAAAAGAAAGAATGAGAGAAGGTTGGAATAAAAGAAAGAAAGAAAGAATGCAAGATAAAAAAGAAAGTATAAAATTACTAAATAAATAAAGAAAGAAAGAAAGAAAGAAAGAAATAAAGAAAGAAATAATGCAAGATAGAAAAAAGAAAGAATGAAATGACTAAATAAATAAAGAAAGAAAGAAAGAAAGAAAGGAAGAAAGAAAGAAAGAAAGAAAGAATGCAAGATAAAAAAGAAAGAATAAAATGACTAAATAAATAAAGAAAAAGAAAGAAATAATGCAAGATAGAAAAAAAAGAATGAAATGACTAAATAATTAAAGAAAGAAAGAAAGAAAGAAAGAAAGATAAAAAAGAATAAAATGACTAAATAAATAAATAAAGAAAGAAAGAAAGAATGCAAGATAGAAAAAAGAAAGAATGAAATGACTAAATAAATGATGAAAGATAGAAAGAAAGAAAGAAATGATGAAAGAAAGAGAGGAAATGATGAAAGAAAGAAAGAAAGAAAGAAAGAAAGAAAGAAAGAAAGAAAGAAAGAAAGAAAAAAATTATAAAAGCTGGAAAGAATGTCAGGAAGGAAGAAAAGAAGGAAAGAAAGAACAATTAAAGGAAATAATGAATTCAGTGATAAAAAAAAAGAAGAAAAGAAAAGCGGAATGAAAGAATAAATGAATGAAAAAACAAACATGGCAGAAACATTTCCGTTATGACACGTGACTTGGTTGCTAAGAGCAACAAGTTCATTTTTACCTCTGGAATCTCGTCGACGCAAAAACAAGGGTGGCTGATTGTTTAAGCAGACGGACAGTCGAACTGGCCGGCTGTTCGGATGTTTTAAGAAATGGAATAAAAAATGCGAGCAATAAGCTACAAAGTGTAATTTAATTATACTTATATATGTTCCCCCAAAAACACACACACGCATGTACAGACGCTATATGAATTACAGTCGATGGATATGTACATGTGTGTGTGTGTGTGTGTGTGTGTGTGTGTGTGTGTGTGTGCGTGCGTGTGTGTGTGTGTGTGCGTGTGATTTAACTGAATATGTTTTTGTTATTCTAGTTGCTATGGGTTGAATATTTTATAAGCTCGTTAGCAAAATAGTCAGAGTATATAGAAAAATATTGCCAAATTGAGATAAAGAGAGAGAGAGAGAGTTGAAAAGGCTTAAGAGAAAGATAGAGAGAGAGAGGTAGATAGGCTGAGATAGATATATGAAAAGTTATAGATAATGAACATAGATAGATAGATAGATAGATAGATAGATAGATAGATAGATTATAATAGATAGATAATAGATAGATGTGAAGTTTGTTGAAAAATTCTCGGCTCAACCAAGTACCGCATTTTAAAAATATCTGATATTTGTTTTGCTTTTGATTTGAAAGTTGGTCTGATCGAGAACTTATTTAATATATATATATATATATATATATATATATATATATATATATATATATATATATGAACCTAAGGCGTACCCTGACGATCCGCGTAGGTGAAACCTAGGTAGGTTTGCCTGGCTCTTTAGTTTCGTAATTAGATTTGCTCTACTTAGTGTATTGAGCACATTGCTTAGTTGTATTTTTTTTTTTTTTATTTACTCGTATCGAAGTTTTTTTTCTTTGGACTATTAGCTTGGATTCTAGTCGATTCTTTCGTCTGAATTACATGTTCTTAGTTCTTTCTTTTATTATTCCTGGGTATTGGTTTGTTCATTTACAAGCCAAAACACAAAGTTTTTTTCCGGACGAGTATACTTACTTATATTTATAAGATTATTATTATATATATATATATATATATATATATATATATATATATATATATATATATATATATAATCCATCTCACGCACGGTGAATACTAGACCTGGTTTCTTTAATATTTCCCCTTTTTAGCGAGATTGATGCTCGACAAGCATACACATAAAATTTTAGAACCTAATAGAATTCTTTTCATTTTCTTTTTTCATTTCAAAATAATCACAAACTTTTAGGAATACGTTATGAAAGCGTCGCCCATGTGACGACGGCGTGACCATGTTAGACGGAAGGCTGATCATTTTAAAAATTTTCAGTTATCTGTTCTGAATAAGACTTGTGTTTTTATGTCCATCGTATTTGTCATATTGAACTGAATTGTATTTTAATGAATATTGTCTTGAAAAAGGTTTATTAAACCGAAACGTCAGACGTCGACATTTCATTCATTTTAACTACATTTAAGGATTTTTTTTTGTTTTTCAAAATTTTTCAAATATATATATATATATATATATATATATATATATATATATATATATATATATATATATATATATATTTTAAGAATTAATGCATTAATTCTTAGTACGACATTTTATTACTTCAAACATTATTACCGTGTACAATTACTATTTGAAAGAGACGCACATATTTATTTATTAAGCAGTGTACTACGTCGGCCTGAACATTTGAGAAGAAAATATTAATGAAGAAAATATACTTTCCGACAGAGATCGAACCTGCGTTCCGCTTTTAGGGGAAATCACATGGAAAGCACATTCCCTTTACTTAGATTACTTTTATCGAGCGCCTATATCTGCTCAGTAATTTCGTAAGAATTACTAGACTTATTCTTAATTGAACAAATTTTTATGACCTTAAGCATTATTATAGTGGAAACTTCATATTTGAAATAGACGCCTCATTTTTCTATATTAAGCAGTCGTTATTAGGCCTATCGGTCTATCTATTTGAAATAATAAAAATGGGTTAATGAATGCAATAAGTTGGATCTTTATTAAGATTTCCCGAGTGCCCGGGCTGACAGACGTAATAAACACTGTTTAATAAATAAAAAGAGGGCTTCTTTTTCAAAGACGAAGGGTCCACTATAATAACGTTTGAAGCAATACATACATACTTAGTAAATGCTGCGTTTTACTCAATATATATGCAACTGTTTAAAGGATTCTGAACACTATATATATATATATATATATATATATATATATATATATATATATATATATTGAGTGGCGACAGTCTGTTTCATGCTTAAACGCAAACTTTTGTAGGTTACTCAGAAAGTAATAACTATTAGTATATTTTCCTGACCCACGACGTCAGAGAAGTATGCTTATGATATATCAGCAGTGGTTGAATAGGTTCTATCAATAGGCTATGATATACGATGCATTCTCGGCAGGCTGGGAAAGTGAAGTCTGACATGAAAGAGCGTACGAAGAAGGACTGTGTTACCGAATTATTCGGAACAAAATTTCTCCATTGACCTTCATCGACGCTAGCTGAACATTTACTAAGATTAACCGGTGGGTAATTCGTTTCACCAAAACGAGAGACGAGTGCATGACTCGCCATTTTCAGCACCTGTTTATCGCAGAAAAGAAAACTAATAAAAAAAAAAGAATAACAATGGTATCCGCAGCGAAATGGAATCATTGTATTATTATTGAAAGTGCCCATCACTACACATATAATCTGAGATAGACAGTAAAGCGTTGCCTGATAACGTCTAAGCTAATGTTTAACCCTAGAACACTAACCATGGGTATATAGTACCCAGCGCAAATTTTCCTATTTTTAATTACAATTTTAAGTACCTGATTTTCTTACCTGAATAATGTTTTTCAGTTCTTATTAATATTAACTCAAAGTACAAAGTTTGAAGTGCCTGCATGTAAAATATTTCAAATAAAGATTTATATTTAATATTTATTTTTGATATTTTCAAAATCGGGTATGATATACCCATGGTTAGTAGTGGTGTAACTTTAATTGAGGGTTAGTGTTCTAGGGTTAACTGATATTTTGGCTAAGTTAGACACAAGGCCATTACAGAGTAGCATCTATCAAAAGTCAAATTCACGACATTAGCAAACGTTCTAGTTGCTTGTTAACCATCACTTTATAACAGATATAATCATCGAATATGGTTTAGCAATTCGATAACAGTTGAAAAGAATATTTCAAATGATAAAAAAAAGTTAAAGTAGTTGTAGTAGTCCTGAAGCTGAACAATATCTATCTATCTATCTATCTATATATATCTATATCTATATCTATATCTATCTATCTATCTATCTATATATATATATATATATATATATATATATATATATATATATATATATATATATATATATACAGAATCTCGCCTGGGCGAAAGTAGGTCATTATCCCTACACACAATGCACCAATCTGCCACTGGGTGGCGTGCAACTAGCGTTTACCGCCGGTGGCCCGCTGTCTGACCGCGTCTCGGCAGTGTTACCACTGGTGGACCGCTAGAGGCCCACCGGTGGCTGCCATCGGTTTCCCCCCCCCCCAGCGGACTATTTGCGTGTAGAGATAATAACAGATCACTCATTCCTGTGGCTCCACAAGAAATTTGCAAATATAAACACCGCGAAAAAGAATTTCCATAATCTCTGTTTCCACTGAAGTTAGTGACTTGATTAACAAAATGTCTTTTATTAAAACAGAAGAGATGATCGAGGAGCTGTTTGGGGGAATTCTTTGAATGTTACACAGGAGTTAACACTTGTGGCTCTGTGTGGTACTGAGGGATTTAAACGAAGCTTATGATGTCAAAAAAAAAAAAAAAATGAAATTAGCAAAACGAGTTGAAAATCCTGCTGAGAAAGTTTATACAGCTATCAATGATAACGGTAATATTAGTCGTTTCCTTATAAGGAAACATTCGGTATTCAGTAACCGAAAACCAGTAGCACTGCCGGTTTATAGAATGTTTCTAATAAGACAATTTCTCAGGAAAATGGGTTTCTCGAGTCCACTATCTTTGGCGCTCTTTTCAGTACTGATGAAGATGCATCCATCCTTGACTATTGTCCGGAGTTAACATCTTAATTATCATTATTGTCTTTTATTATGTCTTTACTTTATTTTATAAGACATTCGACTAACATTTGTCATTTAGGGTTTTGCTTTACGCCGTCTAAAATTCTCACCCATCTTTTATTATTATTTTTTTTTTTTGTTTTTTTCTTTGATTTCTGGCGTTTACATATTTCTTTCCGGGTCCCGCCCAGGGGCATAAGGTTAGAAATGGCGTCATGACACTTTCCACTGACAAAAAAAAAAAAATAATAATTACATAGTTAAAGCCCTTCGTAAGATGTGGGCTGTACTTGTCAGAACAATTTTTTGTATCTCCTTGAGGCATGGACTTCCAGGAATCCCTTCAATTAGTCTACTGCAATCTTTTCCAACCAGTCCTAGAGCTCCAACTACAACAGGGATTGTTGATGTTCCCATATGCCACATTTTCGAGATTTCTATTTCAAGGTCCTTGTACTTTGACAACTTTTTGAATATCTTCAAAGATAGATTGCAGTCAGCAGGGACTGCCATATCAATAAGGAGACACCGTTTTTGTTTGTGGTCTTTAATAACAATATCTGGGCGGTTGGCCTTGATTGTTCTGTCAGTGTGCATTGTGTAATCCTATAGAATTGTAACAGGTCCTATCTCCGTAACCGGGTCTGGGTGGTGTTCATACCAGTTATCGGATAAACACGGCAGATTTAATTTAGAAAATTAATCTTTATTGTCGCATATTTTACAACTTAGCTGTAACAAGTGGATGTATCTTGACAACAAGATGTAACTTCTGACTAAGCAAGTCAATAAACAATTCCAATTTGTATCCCTTGATTAGAATTTCATGTTGAGAAGAGAATAATTATTTTGAAATCATTAAAAGTAAAAATATCAAGCGAAAGCCAACATGAAAGAAAAGTACATGAAATCTATATATTGACAACCTAAATGGTTTTGTATTTTTTTGTTTGTACAGTGTTAATTTGCGCAGTTCCTAATGAACCCACCCATTCATGCATACTTCCGAGCCACCTTTCTGTCTCTTGCATTTCTTTTCTTGATTATCTGTGAATTGCCATGACTTCTTTGGAAAATAGTGGAGTGCTTTTCCTGTTGTATTGTCCACAGCTTAGAATATTAGCGATGTCTTTTTTCTAGACTGGCTGCCACCCTAGGCTAATGTTGGCTATCATATCCTGCTATTTAACTTCTATCCTGAGGAAGAAATGGGTTCTTGCCTTTCACAGAAGCGTAAGTGCGAAATTGAATGTAGCAAAGAATCAGGGGATCACTGCTCCCACAAGCCATGTTAAACAACCGTTAAACTGGCCCCACCCACAAGGTATTTTGCATATTTCTATATACAATTGTTACTCTTTTCTAGTTATGAACAGAGTATAGTTTCTCCTCAATAAACGACCTTACTGTAATCATAAATGCTTTTTGGCCGAGAAAGCTACTATATAATATTAGCGAGAAGGA